AGTAGTAGTAGTGGTAGTAGTAGTAGTAGTAGTAGTAGTAGTAGTAGTAGTAGTAGTAGTAGTAGTAGTAGTAGTAGTAGTAGTAGTAGTAGTAGTAGTAGTAGTAGTAGTAGTAGTAGTTTGAGTTCGGGAGTGCGGTCAGTGTTAGTTGTCAGTGTGGAGGATGAGGCAGAGTGGTGTACTGGTGAGGCTGGTGTACTCCGGGTGCTGCAGTTGGTATGAAGATGTCCTACAAGGCGGATTGGTGTCCGGAACGTCCGCTAACAGCGTTGGCAGGTCGGGGGTGGTTGAGCGATGGCGTTGCGAGGTTGGCGCAGTCGGGATTTGCGTGTCTCGCCTCCGCCTTTGGCGGCGGTGATGCAGTTGGCCTCATAAATCGTTGCGTCCCTTTTCATTGTCCTCCTCCTAGTCAGTCGGTCGCGGGCGAGGTCTTCCCACTTGATCGGGTTGGTCTGCAGACGATTCAGGGAAGTCTTCAGAGTGTCCTTGTATCGAGGGACTTGGCCTCCTTGTCGGCGGGGACCAGTGGCGACGTCTCCGTAGAGTCGTTTCAGTAGCCGCTCATCGTCCACCCGAGGTGGCCGCCCTAATGCAATTGCAGCCGTCTCACCATGGCCTAGATTCTGAGGATTCCCATCCGCTCCATCACATCGGTGTCCGGGATCTGGTCTTGCCATTTCAACGTCAGTGTCCGTTGGAGAAAGCTGACATGGAAATGGCCGAGTCTTCGCGCCCGCTTCTTGCATACCGTCCAGGTGTCCGCTTCATACATGAACGCCGGCATGATGACGTCGTTGTACATCATCAGTATGGTGTTGAGGCTGAGGCCCTGATAGTCAAAGGCCTGGCTGGCTTTTGAAATCCGGCGGGCCACTTCATCGTCGATCTTGGTGATGCGGGAGGGGATGCTGTCCAGGTAGGTGCAGTTGCCCACGACTTGCAGTTGGTCACCGTCCACGTTGATTTGGAGTGCGAAATAGGCAGCGTAGGGTGGTGGTTGATTCATAACTTCCGTCTCCTCCGTGTTGATGACCAGGCCGAAGTTGTCGCAGACGAAGGCGAAGAGGTCTATGTTCCCTTGCATGTCCCCTTCCGAGGTGATGTTGAGGACGTATTTGTCGGCGAAGAGAAGTTCATGGACGGTGGTTGTGGATACACGTGACTGGAAATGCATGCGCCTGGGGTTGAGATGGGGATCCCGGGGCGTTCGTCAAAGTGGGCGTCCATAAGCAGGGCAGAGTACATGAGAGTGAAGAGAGTAGGCGCGAGGACACAGTCCTGCTTTACTCCGTTGTTCAGTTCGAATGCCTTTGGGACAGCTCCATCGTCTGTGACTCGCGCCACCATGCCATCATGGAGCCGACCCACCATCTGGGTGGATCGCTTGAGATAGCTGAATTTCTGCATGATTTTCCACAGTCCTTCGCAATTCACCGTGTCAAAGACTTTCGTCAGATCCACGAAGTTAGAGTAGGCGTCTATCTGCGTCTCCTGACACTTCTCTTGTAGTTGGCGGGCGGCGAAGACCATGTCCGTGGTCCCACGATGACGGCGGAAGCGTTAGGCCTAAACGACGAACCTAGCGGACCTGCCTGCCACTGCAATCAGCTACCTATTTTGTCGTTTCTTTCCCCCCCTTTCCACTCGACGGGGCAAGGTTGGAGTTCCCTAAACAAAAAAAACTGACTGTTACGCACCTATATTTCAAACAGCTGATGCTTCTTTTTGATTGCAGCGACCTGAGGATAAATTATTGAAACAATGCGTGCTGGAACTTACGGGTCTCCTTCATAATCTAAAGAAAACTTTTGTAGGACGTTTTTCGAAGTCCTAATAAATTTACATGTATTTTGAGTGAAGTGTGTGCAGTCCATTATATATGTCATATTGAGCCAACTGTGAAAACTCGGCGCCTCGATGGGATTCGAACCCACGCAGTAAGGAGCAGGCTTTAGTACAGCCAACGCTCTAACCACTTGAGCTACGAGGCTCCGCCGGACGACTCGCGTTTAATCACATTTGGGTCAAGTTTACCCGCCCAACCTACTGCAACGTCTCGAATCCACCAAATCTGATACAGTAAGTTGACTGCCCAAGCAGGATTTCCTAAGTAATTCACCTAGAATCCACCAGATGACTACCAGACTCACGTAATTCATATGTATTTTGGCAGATTTTGAATAATTCACAGTTGGGTCAATATGAATTATTCAAAATCTGCCAAAATACATATGAATTACGTGAGTCTGGTAGTCATCTGGTGGATTCTAGGTGAATTACTTAGGAAATCCTGCTTGGGCAGTCAACTTACTGTATCAGATTTGGTGGATTCCAGACGTTGCAGTAGGTTGGGCGGGTAAACTTGACCCAAATGTGATTAAACGCGAGTAGTCCGGCGGAGCCTCGTAGCTCAAGTGGTTAGAGCGTTGGCTGTACTAAAGCCTGCTCCTTACTGCGTGGGTTCGAATCCCATCGAGGCGCCAAGTTTTTCACAGTTGGGTTAATATGAATTATTCAAAATCTGCAAAATACCTATGAATTATATATGTAGCGCGGAAACGGTTTAAAGGGATCAGATAACGGCGTTTCTCGAAGGCGGGATAGTTCATGCTTTCAAGCGCATCCTTCTGTTGTATGTATATTCCTCTAGGCAATCTTAATAATCTAACTTTATTCGATATTTTTTATAGAATAATCGTTAACTTTTGCGGACATCATAAAACAACGGAAAGGATCTTCAATGAACGGGAAGTGATTTTCTGTGCAAAGTGATTGTTCGTGGCTGTGGCAGGAGTGCGATACCTTAGCTACTTTCCTGTCCATTATAGAGTATAGGAGATCTTCAAAGGTCGAGCGAGCTAAAATTTGAGCCAAAAAGTTTCCTCCTCACCTTTATGCAAAAGCAGTAATCTGCACAAGCGACTATCTTAATGAAAAAAATGACGTGTACTTTGCGATTTGAGTAGGCGTGATATTTCGACGTTTTATGCGGCGTACGAATATTTTATTTAAACAACCCCCCATAATTACCAAAAGACAATAATTGTCATCTCCATTCGCAGTTTTCACATGGGAGTCTGCTAGGACGTTTATTCGTTCTACGTTGCACATTTGCACCTTATCCCCCTGAAAGTCTTCTTTAGAACAAAAGATAACACTTCAGATACGGCTAAAGCTGAGTAAAGCGAAGTTAAAATTTATCTCAAAACTCCTGCTCTTTATTTGAAATTCAGTTTCTGTCTTGTATATGTATATATAGATGGGTAATCATCACATAGATAATGCAAACTGACTGCAAATGCAGCATGCCTTTACTTTACTCTCTATAGGGCAGCATTTCATTTGCTCTATTTTTATAACGTATTCATTCCTTAATCCAAAATGGTCAAAACAACTTAAGGATTATTAACAGTAAAATAAAGAATAGCCTTGACAGACAATCGCTACCGACAGTCGCGCTTTAGTAACTTGGTTAAACTCCAGGTATTAAGTGGAGGTTGTCCTAGAGTAAGATAGGTCCCTCTAGATGTCAGTAGTCAGTTAGTGGAAAAACATGTTCAGATACTCAGTGATCTAAGCCTTTTAAGAATTCCCCAAAATGTTTACAAATTTACAACGTGCAACAAACGCGTGTGAAAATAAAATTATGCCACGCAATCAGATTTCTGGAACTCTGTCAGACGACTTTTCATTGCCGACAATGATTATTCTGTTTTACTGAGACATACAGAATGGGAGAATCTAAGATCACCTATTAACTTTTTGCAAAAGTCAAGTGAAAAAATAACTACGAGGACTACAGTAGGAGGATGCTTAGGGATAAATTTACGGGACATGGTCAGTCTTTTTTGAAGACTGTGGAAGTCCAAAGCGCAAAGGTATGAGCATGTCGTGCAAACTGATCGATGGACGCACATCCACCACAGTTAAGATTCCCCATTTTGACCGACAGAAAAACGTCCATGGCCGAGCAATTTGAGTTCGAACACCGATCCCCGCAAATCTGGGGTCCGATATAGCTGGCCAATAACAGTCAGTAAGTCGGAAATAACCATTCAAGTCTTTTTTGCCTTTTCCGGTACCCCCTTTCTATATAAACACTGGAAGTATAGCATAATGAAGCTGATATCACAAAGGGAAAGTAGTTCTTTTAGGCTTTGCCGGTAGGATGTAAATGACAGTCGTCAATCCAAATTGTATGGTATAAACCCATTTGGAAATAGAGAAGCATTTTGTAAAGATGATACGGTAAGAGTTATAACCCACTTTGACTGCCATATTTGACTGGAATTTGGTTGTTTTCTAACTTTACTAACAACCAGACTGCGAAAAGAATGAACGGAACGAAATGCAGTCGCCTTGTGGAGAATTTCGCCCTACACTTTTGAAAGAGAAACGACTGTCCCAGATTATCTCTGTGCGAAATCGCTAACTCCCGCAGGATGTGTAGAGTGAACACAGCTTACGCAACTCAACTTGAACCTGTTTCATATAATTTGGACGCATATCCAGTACTATTAGCTATGGTAGTTTTAACCATGTTCATTCAAAACTTATCTTTTGTCGTCCTATCTAAAATGGTATTTATCCCAGTTACCGAAAACGGCCCATCTTTTATTGAAGATCATCCATGAGTTATCATTCCATTTAGAAATAGTAATACGCTGATTTTCAGGAGATTTTCGTCAAGCGGACTATTTCAATTTTTTGAATTTCCGCATTTCAAGATCAGTTATCCATCTTCAAAGACTGATGTATCCTTTGCAGGCCTCACATTATTAGACAGGCCGGTCATGTGTTCCATTGAATGTGAGGATTAGTTTTTCGGTACCGGCAGCGAGTGAGTCGTGCGTCCCTGTGGCGCTTCGGTTGGCAGCAGTTTGGAGGGTGTCGAGCATCTCTTTCAACTAGTGATCTGCATCCCCTGAAAAGTGATGGTGTCCAGTGAGAAATACCGGCTGTTGGGCAGTCGGTCAACCCCGATCGACCGTAGGCGGCTTTGTCCATCGTTTTTTCTGTCTACGCCTTCTTATTTGCACTATAAATATTTTAATCTGTGTCTCAGGGGGCATAAGCAGGCCTCTCGCAAAGTATTTTGTATCGTATACTAGTAAGTATGTTAAGATCCCTCTCGATAATGTTGATTCTTAAATACATTGAGACGTTCCTAACAACGTACTATACTAAAGGGTATTCATGACCGTAGGCAGCATATTTTAGCCAATGGCATTATTGAGATTTTTACGCGATCCAAAAACTGTTGGGCTAAAGAGAGACGGATATAACCCGTAGATTGAATTTTTCGAGTTTATTCGAACTTCCATTTAAAAGAAACTTGAAAGGAGGCTTGGAGTTGGTTATGATGGTTTCGTTTCATTTAAAAAGTCAGCTTCAGTTTAGCAACAACTTAACTCTTTTCGTCAAATAATTCATTTTCCACCATAATATTTGCACGGGAAACACCACTTACATATTTCAAAGTATAATTGTCCTTCAAAAGTCAAAAGGGCACTTTACTGGACTTTCATTGGTTCAAAACTGTAGATTTCCTCGGAATTTACCGGAAGTTCAGACGGCCAAATGTCCAGTTAGAGCTTTATATCAAACTCAATCGTCCGCTTTCGGAGACTTTCATCTCCAAAGTCTGTAATTATTTGCACTTTATAGCAATTTGCCGGTGTTTTTTGTCAATGCTTAAGCCACGGTATGAGCACTAAAAGGTCAGGTGGTAGTCCTCTAAACTCGTTGCAGGATTTACACCTTGGGGTAACTTTTCCCACCAGCCTATCCTAGGTTTCCGGATAGCGTTTGCGTTCTATAAAATAAGGACAATTTGCATCGCTTCCATTTAAACCAAATTTCAATTAACAATATTAAAGCAAACATAAAATTTTTTGTTATAACTCTGTAAGATTTGGATAGAAAGAGGACCATTCGATTCAGTTGTTCTGCCATGCATTGCGAAACTCGAAATTAGCTTTCAATAATCGATAAGGCTTAATGGAGCCATAGTCCACTTTATCGTATATTATTTTAGCGACAGCAGACTTTTTAAAAAATTTGTGGTTTATTTGTATTCCTCCTTATCATTAGCAATTCAAGTAAAACTGCACTCGAAAATTTAACAAAACTAACAAATCAAGACTGGCTAGCTTTAACGTTTATATCCGAATTTTTTGTGTTTCATCCTGTACATAAAGATACCCTAGAATATGATATCTCAAACTAAATTAGCTTCACTCATTTGTTCTAAGGAAACTGGTTTTCCAGTGTTAAACCTAAATGCGTATGGCTTTCCGAGTTTACATGAGTCTTTAGGACAGAACTACAAACCCCCTTGCTACTTTGTTTCCTGTCGTATTATGGCAGCGATTTTGAATTTAAACAAAAAGACCCTTATAAGTGTAATCCTCCCCCTAGGCAGATAGTTGATTCTGGTCATGCTCTGACGCTCTGAAGCTGTTAAAATATAACTTGTGCCTAGGTTGTTTGTGCCTAAAAAGTATTTTCAAAATACAAGGCCTCTCACAATACCAGTTGGATTGTGAAAACCAAAGATCGTCAGACATTACTTTATCTACAGTTAACGTACCACGCCAGGATGAAGTCAGACGTATATATTCATCGGAGCTGTGGGCCAAAAACATCACTGGAAAAAATAAGGTGCCACCAAGCAATGCATCTCCAAATTGTCCCTACTTAAGGGCTTCCCTAAATCCCTGATTTTAGAGGAATTTCGGTTAGCGAGAACAGAGCACGGCTGTAAACGTACTTTTAAAAGGAAATTTGTTGCTAGCTGCTGTCATTTGTTCGCAGCTGAAACAACCAACCGAACACAAACTAACCCAACTTCCAAAAAGTATATTTCATATTCCATCCAGTTGCGCCAAGCACACTTTCAAAAAACAACAAGACCGTATCAAATATTGGTGTGATCTGCATTGCTGGAACATACATTGACAGTTTTAAGCCGGTAAGGCCGGTATTCAGGCTTATTTTGGAGAATAGCATTTGCATAATTTATGCAAGATGCAACCAAGGTTAGATTAGTAATGAACCATCCGCTCTCGGCAAGAAACGCCTTGACCTCAACGAAAATCAGACAATAACTCAGGTCGCAGATAAAAGTCTACGACTGCCCCTGATGACGGGTTCGGGTGAGAATCCGAAACGTCAGGCCAATAAATTTCCTGTTCCAGCGATCGCGTCTTCGTGTTCTGAGTAGGCATTTTTACCACCCTTTCTTCCTTGAAAGCGCATTTCTTTGAGAAAACAATACAGAAAGCAAATGAAATGGTGCTCGAAAGTATGATGGCCAAGGTCGGGCTTCAGTTGCGTCGGGGGGACTTGCGCGATATCTTCCCTACCTGTATAAGGATAACTCGACAGTGACTAGTGGTAATTGTCTTTTAAGTAGTTTTTGGTGAAATACTTTCAGTTTATTACTACGCAACTTCACTTTAACTGTCGCGCCAGGTCTTAGTATGCTGTAATGGACGAATTCGGCATCAGACCGCTAATCCGTGACAACAAGGTTTCGGGCAGTTTCGGAATTTGGCGTCGATGCGACCTCCTCCTGTCACCGTTGAAAACTCATGACCTTACATATAAGAGTATGTTTAAAAGATTCCTATTTCATTTTAATTGCAAAGATTAACACATCGTCGAGCGTTCCTATGTCTAATACTGAGTTGCCAACCGGCTGGCATTTTCATATCCCTATATGTTTGTTGGTGACTATACACACAACAATTCGACAGTCACGAGTTACGACGCCCATCGTTTTCCCCAAGGAATGGACACAGTACAAGTGACCTGCGCAGGAATTAGCTGGTAGTAAGACAGACTTGCGCAGCACCGACCACGCTCTCTCCTCCCCCACCCATCTGGCTTCGGTGACGAGACAATGTCACAACGACCGAAGGTGGGTTCGGCTGCGGTGGCGGCAAAATACAAACAGCCCTTTCAGGTACGTCACACATGAACTGGCTCCACCAGATGTACCAGGTTACAGTGAAGGCGACTCGGATCTCGGACGAATGAAAATGCCACATGGGCCGCAGGGAGGAGGGACCATTACAGTTTGACTCTCAATTCTGAGGAAGACCGAATTATTCCGTCAGTTGGTAAGCTTTAAAGCCAGGAATTTTGGTGCATTGTGATAGATTCAATTATGTTCGAATTATTACAGCGAGGAATGCGCTGATTTGCCATGAAAGTGGATTCCCCATTGTCGACCTCACTGCCTCTTGTCTTTCTCACGCATTGGTCGACTGTCCGAGTCAGTCAACCAGGTGATGTTGGGATTGCGTTAGGTGTGGGTCTGCGCCTAGGTGTGCAACGACACCTTCCCTCATTTCCGGTAGTAGTTGTGGTTTCGCACGGGCTCTGTGTAGCCTGATTAGTGTGCGCCATGGGCCAGTCTGACCCTTGTCTTGTTCTATCGCACTTACAGCGGGGTCTGTTCTGTGGACAAACGTATCCCATGAAACGCCTAATTTTTTGCTGTTCCACCCAACTTTTTCTGATACTAGCCTCCGGCGGTAACTCCTGTTATGCTTCTGAGTCACCCACTGAGTGGGGCATATTTCATTTTTACACCTCCGGACCAGAGTTTTATAAATCTTTCCTGCCGTATCCTTTTCTTTTTTGTGCATCACCGCAACAAGTTCGTCGCATATAGCAACTCTGTCAGCATATGCGAGTTTTGAACTCACAAAGTTCTAGGATTCTAAAACAATGTCTTTTCATGTCCAACTACCGATTTTTTTATCTGCAGAAAAAGAAGAAGAGGCTTTGATCATAAGGACATTTAGCCCATCTAATCAATTCAGCGCAAAAATTACTCTTGTTAAATTTGGTCACTAAAAGGTCGCCAAGGTTCCCGTGATGAGCTTATGTAGGGCACCTTGAAAAACGAAACTACTTGCTCCCTCTTCATGATGCGTTAATTATGAGTAGTGAAACGTGACTTGATGACATTGGACTGCAGCAAATCCTTTTCTCCTGACTCATGAAGATTTAAAAGACTTCATTATACTTATTACCCAACCCGTAGCGAACATTTATAAAAGATGTGGAGATTACTCTATGTGATCCTGTGGTTAGCGACCAATTTCTAAGGAACTTAATTAAATAATTTAATTAAAAACTGAGGCATCTATCAGAAAAGACGCGGGGAACGCTGGAGATCCACTGATAAACCGAGCCTTTCGAGGCTGTTGTGCAGCTGCAGAATATCGGCGAGACGTGTGCCGTCAAGTATGGTATATCGTTCGACCTATGTAAATGGGTTCCTTCCTGTAACAGTACGCATTGGCGTATATTTTTTAAAACGTGAAGTCAGAAGGAACAGCAGTCAGGAAGAATTAATCTGGGGCCTGGGAAAATGAGCCATATTTATCTTGGTAGAGGAGCGCTCACCGATCGTTCTCAAGGAACTCACTCGTCCTGTTGGGTTTTATGTTTTCCCTCTCGAACCTAAGCAGCAGCCGCACAGCGGCGCATGATATAGGCAGAATAACGTTACCAACAAGGGCAAGGGAGACTGAAATGGACATTTCTGGCTTATTGGCCCTCGTCAGCCAGTCATATCCAGCCCCGAAGTGTGGAACACCTGGGCCTCCATCTTGCGACCTGTTCGTTTGGAGTCCAACGCCTCTAACCACTGAGCCACGCGCCCGTTGTCCTGTCGATTGCGATCGGGAATATACAATGGTAGGGGCACTCACCGATCGTTCTTACGGAACTCACTCGTCCTGTTTTGCCTTACGGGCTCTCTCTCGAGCCGAGCCACCAGCCGCACAGACGTGCATGATACAAGCAGAATGTTACTACCGGCAAAGACAAGGGAGACTGGAATGGCCATTTCTGGCTTATTGGCCCTCTTCACCCAGCCGTACACCTGGGGCGTTGAACTGCTAACCAACAGGTCACGGGATCGAGCCACAGGTGTTCCACATTTCGGGGCTAGGTATGGCTGACCGGCGACGGCTAATAATGGGTATTACAGTCTCCCGTGTCTTTGTTGGTAATGCTATTCTGCTTGTATTTATCTTTAGATTTTCTTCGCTGCGTTGTAACTTTAGACAAGAGCTCTAAAGCAAAACAGAAAGGCTTTCTTCTGCCGGACCTAGAAGATCCCCGATGGAAGCCAATGCGGCTTGAGACCATGCTCAATATCTAAACGTGTAGTCCAGGATGAACTAGGCCTGTATTCAGCTTTTAGTTCTGCATGGTATTTTAGTAAACTGTACCTGGCCGACAGCAGCAAGTATGTGAGAAATGACCGTTCCGGTCTCCTTTGGCTCAGCTGTTAGTATTCCCAGAGTATTACAAATGTTACAAGCCGTTTTTGGAAAAACTTTTTAGTTACCTCTGAAAGACGTTATCTCATTCCTCTGCAAAGTTATTTTTGTTAACAGTCTCTTGAGAGCATAAAAGCTTTAGGGGGGTTTACTTTGTCAAAAATTGAGTCGGTACTTCTGACTGCTGGCAGCTCTACCCACGAGTTCCCTTTTAAGCGATGCCGGTTTCGGGACGGTCATCTACCGGTGGTCATGACATGTCATTTTTGGTGCAGGTCGGAACGCAAATTTTTAAAAGGGCAGATTCACGTGTCTTGTGCAACTAACGTTGTCAGATAGGATAAGCTTTTAGCGCTGACGTAGGTAGTCTTAGCTTTGGCACCACGCAAACATTCCTCCTTAACTACTAGAAGGAAATCTGGCATTAAAAAACTATAGTATTCGGTTCATATGCAAGCAATTTCCTACAGCTTACAATTTTACCAGAAAACGTGTTTTCTACTCTGACCTCTTCCGTAACAGCATTGTTGCCCCGAGGTCTAAGTATGTTTCTGGAAGTGATTTGTGCTGATGTCTCGAATATTTCCATTGTTATCTTTTCGCACTAACTGTACTTGTCAACACCAACCGATCAGCAGAGCTGCCAGCGCATGCCGACCGACTCATCCACTCACGCGCCTGCGAGCACAGTGTTGGCTTTGTTTGCAGTGGCTGTTATGGCAGTGGTTTCAATAGGGCCTTATAAGCAGATCAGATACCCAGTTTTAGCACACTCTGACGCATTCACGCAGACGTAAAAGCCAGAGGGCGTTAAGTTCACTATGTATAGGCAGAACTATGGTCAGAAGTCCAGCTGTGAGGTACAAAATACGGACATGGACCGACAGATGCAGCAATATACCATTGACCTGGTAACTCAGGCACTGAATAGGTACCCCGTCGAACAGGAAGCGGCGGCTTACATAAAACGGGAGTTCGAACGGGAGCATTCTAAGTACTGGCACTGCATAGTCGGAAAGCATTTTGGAAGGTGAGTCAGTCTGGGCCACAGAGTGGTTCAAAATATTACGTTCTCGTTTTTCGGCATTTATCTTGTCTGTCTATTCTTTGTTATAACTTAACTCCCTTCTCCACGTTTTATTAGTCAACCTTCTATGTCTAGTCACGCGATTTGAACATTGGAAAAAAATCGAACTTCAAAAGTCCACTGTGCTGGACAGAGCAGCCACTCAAATGCACTTTAACAGTAAAATGCTACTCTAAACTCGAAGCAAAACACATTTTAGAGCCAAGAAACAAATTTTCATTGCCGAATTGTCGGATAGGGAAAGTAGTTTGATACAACAAGGACTGAAAGTGAAATTATATTATGTATGCAACTGAAAAATAAATATTACGAAGTTCTGCCTCAATGCAATTAAGGAAGGACTCCTGTGAGAAGCCAACACAGACAGATCGGAATACCTAGCTTTTTATTTTATCATCGGCGCAATTAAAATGTTCAGGTAATATGGTCATTTACAATGAAAAATAGGGCAATGTCTTGTCTGATTAAAGTGATCATTCATAGCAAATCACATGTACCTGTAACTAAACTGATTCTGTATTTTAGTCAAAACTCTGTTTTATCCTCATAATCTCAACAAATATGGTGGCTGAAATTTAATCTGGGCGCGGTTATTGAGCTTCTGGTGCGTTTAACTACTCGTCTTGTCAATGTTGATGACACTAATGAGCTACTATGGTTAGAAATCGTGTGGCGAGGAATTTCATTCAAACTATGTTTGACGGCCTGTTCTGGGAGGAAAATTGTCAAAACGAGTCGATATGAACACCTATGAGAATATTTTACCGATTATTTACGTTTACTTCCAGCAGATTTGTTTCTGTTTATTAAGTGCTGATTGGGTTCCGTCCCTCTTAAAGGAGAGGCATTCTTTGTTGCATGATTGAGCTTAAGGCGCACCAGAGAAATGAAGATAGGAGAGCAAACCATCAGGTTTCATGTGAACTTTTGAGTGGAGGTCTAACACTGGCAGATGGGATTATTGATCAGGAGATTAGTACGTTATAAAACTGTCTTAACTAGTGGGCGGTTCGAAACTTTGCAGCTTCCTCCTCTCTTTGACCGAAGATTAAAACTTGTCATCGCCCCCATTTTTGTCGCCATTTGTTCCTCCATAAGATGCAAATGATTTTGACAGCAAAATTGGAATGAATATCCTCCATCTGACTTTGCTTCCGTTAAGGCATTTGCAAAATCATATCTACGGTAGCTAAAGATTGAATGCAAAGTGCCACTGACTTGCAGTTTTGGAAACTGATACGCCGACTGTCACCTTCTATTTTGGGGAAAAGGGAAGATTGTCGTTTACGGATGAACTACGCTATCTTAGCTTTTAAAGGGCCAATTACATTCCGCATTTGTTTTCATAAAGTGGATTTCAATTTTTTCGTAAGTCTCTAGACTGCATACTAGGTAATTTCATTAATGCTGCTTTTATCTGTCCATTATTTCCCCATAAAGAAGTCTCTTCGTATTCTTTGCATGCTGGCATATACAGCAAATATCTTGTAGTCTTAGAGCAGCATTATAAAACTGCGGACATGATGGTGCGTAAATAATCAAACGCGCTGCCTAAAACTCGTAATTAAAAGCTTCTGGAAGGTCCAAGTGCCACGGCTCTGTTTAAAACCAAGATAATGTGTACGTTTTTACAAAAATAATAGGGGAAATGGCATTTTCCGTATATTTTTTCTTGCAGATACGATAATGTTTACAAGGGTCGTAACAATTCAATAGTTTACGTTACTCAACTAGGGATTTTCCTTGGGCTTGACATTTATGGGCGTCTGATAGAACCATCAGTCAGGGATCAGCATGCCAAACAACGTTCATCTAGAATTAAGTTCTTACTAAACAACACAGTAATCCTACCAGAGTGTTATATTCTCCTTAAACTTATATTTAATAATTTTGAATAATGCTTCACGTGCGTGCTTTTATGACCAAAATCTATCTAAGGAATACCACACTCCTCTCCCAATTATCTGTACAGATTAGTTAGGTGATCACGATGAGTATTGTGCCTTTAAAATTTCACAATAGCAGCCATCACGATCATCAAAGATCGGACTGGTTTTGGTTGAGGATGTAAGGGAGCAGGAAAGGGGACTAGAAATAGCGTTGGCAAAGTCCCACGAAGAAATTAAATATATTTATGTCGTCTGACCAGGCAGTTTTGGTGGGAAGGCCGATAAGACACGCTTCTTAAACTTCTTAATTTTCCTACAGGTAGCCGGAAGTTTTCCGCTAAACATAACATGATCTAACGGCCCTCGTAGCTGACAGTTTTGCCATATGACTCGCCTCGTAGGGCGACAATTTCAGTCTGACGCTACCTGACTCAATAAAGCTCTAATGAGCTTAGTAGCAGCACCATGGTAGTTGCTTCGATTGGTAGCTGGCACTCCGTTTCAGCGCAAGCGAAACTGCGCGAGAAACTTGGTTCGATAATAGGATATAAAACAGTCATGGCATGGAAAATGTATACAAAAAGTTTCTGTCTGGCTAATCAATGCACCCTTGACCATCTACAGTGATCTCAGCCTAATATTGTCACAGGAATAGGGGAATGTGTGAACAGAAAACGTCGCTTACCTTATATAAGCCTGCTTTACTATAATCCGATCTTTTCTTGGTTCACCGCGGGGATCAATGTCGGCCAGAGAGGATTAACTGCCATCATGGTGAGTTCTCAGATACCAGGAAACTATCCCGAGCGTTTGCTGAATAACGCGTCAACGAACCCAGCGCGTTCCCTGGGTGTCACTTGCACATAAATTATTAGAAACCGGGAAAAATCAGACTACGTACCTGGGGGACAATTTATTTATCTGTGTGCCGAAAAACTGGTAGGATGAAAACAGGCAAATGACGAGCTCAGAAACATGAAATTTGCGGATAGTAATTGTCCCTCTTGATATCGACTGACTGGTATCTTTGATTAATTGACGCTTGCAAGATCCTCGACCATCTCGAACTCGTAAGGTATGGGCAGCGACGTAGAAGTACTGAACAAGTATCTCCCATTCGAGACGGACTTCAGAACCAGGTAATTGTGTGACCAACTGTAAACCGCTCCTCCGTGAAGTTCTCAGTCAGGTCAATCCCACTGAAGTTGTGTCTCACGTATACTCTTGCAATATCCTAGAGCGTAATTGACGGAACTGAGTCTGTCACATAGTTGATTAAGAATGGAAGAAGACAATGCCCGGCCTATGTCACCGTTGGGGGGAAAATACTCCACCATGCACCGCATGTCAGAATGTTTGTCTGCTTGAATTTCCAGTGTATCTTAATCAAGACGAAGTGACTTAGGATCAGTCATCAGCTTTCAGGGCTCTTCAGATAATACTTCTGTGATTTTAATTAAACGATGGTGCAAAAGCAATAAAACACGTGATGTTCTCCCAATTAATTTAGCGTCCTTGTCCTGGAATCCATTGCAGGGGAAATGTCTTCTTAACGTAATCTCCACCAGCACCGAGGACATCTAATTTTTTCCTTATGTTGAATCCTGTACCGGTAATTTTTGTTTTTCAACAGGCAGCGCAACATAGTTCATCTCGTGAGCCATATTTGATGCCGTATGCACACGAAACCATGTTATCCTAGCCGACTACTAATTATGTTTAACACCACACCAATTTTGCATTTTCTCCTTGGTTTTGTTCCTTCGGATGCGTTAGGTAACTCTAAATATTGTTATTGCCGCTTACCTAAATTTTTTTCATACTTGCCATACACATTGTTTTTTATGGCGTTATTGTAACCAAAAGGGAGTTCAAAGACGCTCGTCTACCTTTCCCTTAATAAATATGATCTGATCTGATCTGAATTTCCTGCCGGGAAAATTTAGAAATTTGGACTGAACAACGCCGCAACTTGCTCACTCACATGTCTTTCGTCCATTTTCTCGTCCGTATGACCACCGCACTCTCTTCGTCGTCCGAGTTAGTCACTAACATTCTATTTTTAAGTCAGTGGGAGATAGCGGTTGACGAGGGATTTTCCGTTAGCTTGGTGGTCGTTAGATTCCCTCTGCCAGTATATCTTCTAGTTCCTTGCAATCAGTTTGGAGTCGCTTGAAGGCAATTATTGAACTCATCTTTTACATTCTTACTACTGCTTCATATCGAGGCATAGGCAGTAGCCAGCTTAATGTCAGAAATTCCTTCCTCTATCCGTATGTGAACAATATGAGAAGCGGCAGATTTCCATGCGCCAAACTCCTTCGTCATTTTATAGCGTATAGGAGACTGTACCCAATGCCTACCCGGACCATCATGCATACTAATATGGTAGACGATCTCTCATCCTGGATTCTTTTTTGGCCGTGTACCAAAAACACAGGCAGCGAAACTTTATAAATACCGACAATATTGATTTCGGAACCAGAAGGTATGCTCAATGTATATTCTCTGTGCGTGTTCTCAGACAGCTTGGAAATTCAGAAGCTACACACAAAAGGAGACTTCCCCTAACCTAGCATATTCACATTGGTTGGAGTTATGACACTTTTTTGCTTACTTTGAACAGAAAATCTACCCTTTCTACGCCCTTGAGCATCATGCTACAAACAGGGCGGGTGAACCATTGTTCTTCAGCAGTCTATAAACCCGTTTATGTCTTGGTTAGTCAAGCAGTTGCTGCAAAAGGCAGATTATAGTGGTACTGCTTCCTTCATTTCCGGTATTTTTTGATAAGCACTTCAAACCCTCCCTCCAGCCTGTCAGTTTCATATCTCAGACAGGTAGCGGAAATCTTATATGGTGACGACGATCGTCATCATATCGTTATTCAACTGGAGCTTTTGAGCCTTTATAAACGATGCATCTGTCAGATCGGTGTCCGGTCGCACTTTGGGAGTATTACATCTGCATGGTTCTTGAGTGCTTATTTCAAAGGCACTTCCTACAGAAGAAGGTCGTTCGGTTATCGCAACCCGTGAGTGTTTAGGGCAATCCGCAGCCTAGCCGCCGGAGAGATTTCAGTCTCTCAACGCTCCAATTATTCCTAATCTCCACTCTTTCCTAATGATAATGTTGCTTAAGTAGTTGGGAAAGATCTCTACAGTAGAGTCCTTGTTTTGGGGTCTCTTTGCGAGAGTTTCTTTCCAAATCTTTGTCTACAGTAGTACTCCTCTCCTGTACTAAGCAGTCTTCAGTCATTATGCACTGTAATATCGACAGGTTCAGTTTGTAAATGTCGAAATCCGTATTTACCGGGAGAAATAATATGCTCTTCAGGAATGATATCAAGGGTTAGAATAATCATGAGAAATATTGGTGTAGTTTACCGAAACATGACGAAAGACTAGTCCCAGGAAGTAGTTTAAAGGAACCAGCCGAGATCACCGTTTCTGCCTCAGGTGTTGGCTTTGAGTAAGAATCTGGAAAATCAAGTCAGCAGAGTTCTCGTATGAGCAAACAAACTAGCGTCTTCTCTAGAGTTTTTTACTTATGGTGAGAATAGATCGGGAGGTGTTTTCGACATCTGAGCCGTGACATCGAAGGTCCCATCAGGTTATCCGGTAAACACTACAAAATTTATCTGTAGTAGGTGTATTTGTTTAATTACAGTGGACTATTTGCGCTGTACCACAAATATTCCACTAGACATCGTGCATTTTCCATTCTATATACCTATGGCAGTAGCTACTTTATTTGGCGGGATAACGTTGATGTTATCTCACTGCACTTAACAATCGATAAAGAGAGTTCCTCGATTTCGGAGTCCCTGTTTAGGTAAAATAAGGCCCGACGTTGGTATCTGGTCTCATTAGCAAATCTCATGAACGCAGAAAATCCTGTTTGAGCAGTTTTCCTACTGGATAGCATAGGCGACTTCCATATATTGCAGTAAGTTGGGCGGGTAGCTTAATCTAATTACAAAAACTGCAGGTTCTTGTCCGGATCTTAGTAACCCAGGTGATTAGAACGTTGGTTGTTCTCAAACATTGTTCTTTCCTTCGTGGATTCGAGTCCCTCCGGTTTTATTACGGTTTAGTAGTCGATCAAGCAAATTCTGTGACTTTTTTTAAAAAAAATTGCACTTGGAAAATTTTTGAATCTGCATGGAAATCCACTAATACGTATCCTTATTAATAAAAGCTCGTTTTAATTTTGCTTTCATATATCGTCCAAAAAATATATATTGGCCTTAAATTGCTAAAAGGATTTTTTAGAGATTGGTCTAATTTTGGAAGGATTGTCCAATGTTGTTTAATCAGTTAATCTTATATTAAAGTGGTTTCCCGTATACCGCAAAGGTGTTTTCGATAAACAACTTTTTATGTATGCGTGTCTTAAAGGGTTTATATTGAATATACAAATGCGCGCTCCATTCCCAAAGAAAGTGCGCAAATAAAACTTTTCTAAACATGCGGGATAGTTCATATCCTTTTCCAACTTCAACTACCTAGCCTTGCTTTATCATCAAGTGGTTCATGAATTTGCATGCTTGTGTTGACAAGTAATTGAACTACGAATTAAACATTTTACACATGTCGAACAGGCTTCTGGGCTAAGCGGTAGTACTACTTACAATCTAATGTTGTTTAACACTTACATCTCTCTGGACAATGTCTTATGTCACTTAACCTAATGCTGATCAAAACCGGCAGTTTCGGCCTAGGGAGACTTAACTACCACAGCTTCACCACTCTATTAGTAAACCAAGACACCCGCTTAGCAGCATGTACTAGGTATTTGTGGATTTAAATGATACATCTGTCATTTATGCAGGGTCAAAAGTCGCAATTCCAACGAAATATGCTTCTCATTCCCACGGAAGACACTTCAGTGATTCGTACAGCTTATTATTTTGAGAGAACATGGTTAAGGTTGAAAAGATCACCGCTTAACAAAGAATGGACAAGCCACACCCAAGATCAATAAGAAAGGTGTTTTCGTTGCAAAACGTTTATTGGTAGAATGTTTTTACCGACGAAGTCAAGAGAGACTGAAATGGCCATTCCTGGTTTATTAGCCGTCGTCAGTCAGCCAGACCCAAACTCGAGGTGTGGAACAGCTGGGGCTCTACATCGCGACCTGTTAGTTAGAAGTCCAACGCCTCTAACCCCTGAGTCACGGGCTCGTTGCCTTGTCAGTTTCGATCGGGAATATACAATGGTAGAGGTGCGTTCACCGACCAGGTTTGCGGAATTCACTCGTTCCGTTGTGCCTTACGGGCTGTCACTCGAGCCCAACCAGCAGCCGCAGAGCGGCTCATGATATAGGCAGAGTTCCGTTAGAACGATCGATGAGCGCCCCCTTCTACCATTCTATATTTCCGATCGAAACCGACAGGACAACGGGCCCGTGACTCAGTGGTTAGAGGCGTTGGACTTTTAACTAACAGGTCGCGGGAGAGAGCCCCAGCTGTTCCGCACTTCGGGGTTGGGTATGACTGGCTGACGACGGCTAATAAACCAGAAATGGGCATTGCAGTCTACCTTGTCTTTGTCGGTAATAACATTTTGCTTATATCATGCGCCGCTGTGCGGCTGCTGATTTGGCTCGGGAGAGAGCCCGTAAGACACAACGAAATGAGTGAGTTTCGTAAGAACGATCGGTGAACGTCCCTTCACCAAAACGTTTATTCCTTTGCTATTTCAGTAATAGCAGTTTGTATTAACAATAAGGTATCCTCGTTTCCAAATAAGTATTAGTTTCAGAACAGAACACAGATTTTCGACCGCGAAGGCTCTTCACTTTAGGGTGATGACCTTTTAAAGTGCATATCAACTTTGCTCTGCGCAAAGTGCGTCTAAAAATATTTTCGGCTAATACTCGGAGTGCTATCAACTGAAAGTGCCATGGTAGGAAACCAAAGAACGAAATCTGCGATACGGCTTTTATCTGGTCGGTTTGTTTCAGATTACTTATCTAATCTGTATTATCAAAACCAGCAGTTCCTTTGACATAATGTACAAACCGGACATGAAAATGGCCTATAAATATTACTGGAGAGACAAGAAATTAACCACCAATTAATAACTATGTGTGATCTTAAAAAAGAATGCTAAATGAAGACCCATGCACCGAATCGGTAGCTCAGTGATATCACAGGGAAATCAGTGTAAGTGAACTATCCATACGACAAAGTCATACGTCTTAGCCGCCAATTGCTCTCTCTAATGTTTTGGTTTTTCTTGACGCTAATCATCGCGTCGGCTGTGCTTTCAAAGCGAAGATCTTTTCCTTTTTCCAGCTTTGTTTCGCACGAGAAGAACACGTTCTTCCACGCATTCTGCGGACAATTGGCAGTGCTCATCTGGAAGGCCGGTCGCGACTCCAAATACTAAAAACTCTTATTGAGTCACCCTATTCCTAAGAAAAGGTGCGTAGAGTATCTGTAAAGGAGAGCGCTTCTCCTATGTTATACTATTTCTACCTCTGTATGCCAACGGCCCTCATTACAATGGCCTTTGTCGACTGTTTATTTTATCCTTGCCTCCTCCTTAATAGCATGAATTAAGCTAGTGTATCGACGCAGATAATCAGTTTGTTTTGGAAAAATTAAACTCAGCGAAAGTGGGCAGTCTTTTATCTGCATAACTACAATGAGCGTTCGGGGAAAGGTCGAGGCTCTTTTTATAGTCTATTATTTACTTAAATTAAGTGGGCTGACCGTAACTATCACTGTTTTCATTTGTGAGAAGCAGGTAAAATAATGAGTAGTAATAGGTCTATACAAAATTGGTCCATATGTATGATAAAGTTCAGTCGTAAGAGACCTTTAAAATGCCTGCGGATTAAGCAAACATACCTAGGCTCACTTAGTTGAAAGGGGGATTTATGAACTGAGTGCCCGCCGAGGTTTAACCTATTGTTAACTTAATACGTCGGAAACAAATCATAATTGTTGCCGATAAAGACAAGGATAACTGAAATGGTATTGTTTTTTGGATACGCAGCGATGATCCAGAGAGCAAAATTACGAACGGCAGCCGTTTAATCCATCTAAACTCAGGGAGCATAGAAAATGCGTATAATTCACGAACAGCATGGACCCAGTTTCTGTCATTAGAAGCATGGTTACGCAAATTCCCACACACAGAGGGGATTCTAATCAAATTATTCCAGTTTAGTGTGAAGACGAGCAAAAGGAGCAGCGGGGCTGTAGTAGAGGGTAGAAAATTTTCGCTGTCATCGGTGGCAGTGTATTTGGATGTATTTTACGGTTGGATTTGCAGAGGGATATGTACCGGCATTGTTTGCATCTGGCTGAGACTGGTCTTATTCCTAGTTTAAATTCGCTGTGAAGGGGTCAAACCGTGTGAAACTGCAAGGAGACGGCAAGAACAATCTGACACTGTTCCCAAGCAGCTACTGCAAAACTCTCAATAGTTCTGTGCTATCAGTTACTCAAGTAAAGCTACAGTAGGTGGGCTAATCCATGAAATGTTAACCGTATTTCCGAAATGCGTTTTCGCTTCAAAAAGACTACCTAAGTAGGATTGTAAAACTTATCATCGTGTAGCATAATTATACAATAATTCAGCTACCTCAAGATCCCAGCTTTCGAACGAACCTCTTTCCGGCTGCATGCAAAAGCAACATTCTCCAATGAATTACTACTTAAGAAGCATGCATCTTTTTCATTGATTCCCGATTCCCTTCAAAATTCAATTGTATTTCATGAAAAACATGCATAAAAATATTCATTCTTTTACTGATTTGGTATAAATTACGCCTTTCTCCAACCTTCTAGTCGTAGAAAAGGCATACGTCGGTTTTCAAAAGCTTTCGCAATTCCCGAATAATTCTGAACCCGCCCTGCCGTTAAACTTGCATTCAGGGTTCCCAAACTACAAGTCGTGTATTTTCCGCGTACGGAGAACCATACATTTCTCTACGGTATTAAGACGAGACCATATGCGGTTCATAAAATTTAGCAGTGAATATGAGCCATATTGTTAACTCTTCAAGCCAAATTGGTGAATGCAAAACATGACGTTTTATGAACGGCCATTTCACGGCATTGAAAAATCCCACAGTTAGAAACATGGGATACGGGAAAATTTATCCCTCCGGAAATTCCTCGCAACGCCACCTGTATAACCGGGGGCTTCCTATTTACGTCTCGTACAATTTTTCAACATAAGATTGCCTGTGGTTGTTGAAAAGATGTTGATAGTGGAATATTCCTAAGAAGACAACTTACACATCTTATTTTCAAGAGTAAAGGAATAAAACATGGAATTCAATGGGAAGATATTACTAAGGGCTGGTTGAAATCAGTTTCTGCTGCGAGGTTATTTGAAAGTGTTTAGATCGTCCATGACCTCAGGGGACTCAAAAAACTTCATGTTGCCTGCAATACACAAACTTCCTTCGGGACTTTGGGCAGGAAATAAGAAAATCATGAATAAAATCAAACATACTTCTTTATTACATGATAACAGCAATATTTCTTAAAAACGATATATAACCGGGCCTAAACGGTCGATTTAAATTAAAATAGCATGAATGGAAGGTGGTTGAGGTGTCGAAGTCTATCGACGAACGAAAGGATGCGTGAACAGAGATGTAAACAAACGGATGCTGGCTTTCCAGTCCTCTCGAGTACAGTTGTTTCTGTGATGGACATTATCGAATTACTCTTGGCATATTCCCAACTGCTTCGTTCGAAGTAACCACAGGGAAACCAGGTGATCGGTGACATAAAACATAAGATCTTCTGGCAAGCTTATTCTACGTGAAAACTGATTTCCTTAGTTTTTGGTTCGATCACTATTTAGGACTTCAAACATGTCCAGAACAGATCTTTCTCCAAAAACGCAATTTAAATACATCTATTTTTCCACGTGATAGCTTATTTTCATAAGGCCATTTTACTGCCTTTAGGCACGATCGGAAGACTTTTGAGATGTATGCAGAACTTCATTTTATGTGGCAAAAAAATATAAAACTCACTAAAACCAGCATTCGAGCTCGTTTTATCAAAAAGTTTTAAGTGTTACATTAAAACTACCCGGTCGATCACTCGATATCAGTTTTATGGATGTTTATTCGATTTTCGAATTTTCTAGTAAACTATGCTTTGTTTGCAAGTGAATTTCTCCGCGCCTCACAAAGAACTCTTAGAGCATCCTAGATTAATATGTTTACTGGAAACTCTTATCGTTTCCGCATAGTGCAAAGACACATGAATATATACGAAAATTACATATGTACGTACGTCTCAACGACTTAGGCTATAATCACTTAGTGGATATATTTCAACACCAGAAATGGACTCCTTTTCAAAAACTCCCGTAATATGGTTTGCCTCCCTTGGCAGATTGTTTGGATTAAAAAAGAAGACTGCTTTCATGAAAATTGACCGACTGGCTGGAAATCTTCTGTAAATTAGGCATAGATAGTTCAAACACATTGAAAATTGCCTTCTAACTATCTATTAAAATTGAGTTTTAAATTAGGAGGTGCCTCTTAGATTTGCATGAGAGACACTTTCCGGAACTACGTTGAGAATTTCAACCTACAATGTGAACTAGAGAACGGCCAGTGTGAAAGTGATTTTCAATACAGCTCTTGGAAGATTCTGCTGAGGGGTTACTTAATAGATAAAAATTCATGTAAGAAGCCGAATCCAAACGTTTATATTGCATTACAGATGTAAGTTGGCGACTACCACATTTTAGGAGCGAAGACAATTTATTAGTCAGCCAACTTGTTGGTCTGTACCTCTGGAATACCTGACGAGTCATTGTCACTTAGGAGGAAGGGCGTTGCACCCTGCATGGTCTAACAACATTGTTAACTGCCTTCATTAACGGATCCTTTAGAAGGGGTTGTTTGCAGATGCCGAAGTGAACCAGTAAGACAATTTTATGCTCTACGAATATTCCAATGTTACGCTTGAAAAGTTAATTTGCAAACACATGTTTTCGGTAACACAATATCAGGCCAATACAGTTGCATAGAAATCGAAAACATGAGAAGTTCACAGGGTTTATAAGAGACTTTGGGGCTGCTAACACTCATCGTGCCCAAACTACCCGCATGACGAGGCTGATGCGCTATAATCAACGGGGCAAAGGGTTGGGCAGGCTGTGAGTGATATTCGTAAGTCGGGTAAGTGGAGTACACATTACTGTCATCAGGGGGTTGGGACAGCGTGCAACGAATATCTGGATTTGCCGTTGGCCACGGAAGACAGAAAACCTGTGTCAACGTCTTCTGACAACATAGCACTGGATTCGCCAGCCGTATAGCCACTGCCTTGGCTATAGCTAGCATCTGTTGGCGTAGGCCATTGGAAAAGTTTTCTGGTGTCCGGTAGACAACCTGAAAGGTTTTTTGACATCGACTCGGTTATTCATATCGACTAGATGTGCGAGAATTGAACTCGAAAACGATCTCTTTTACCCCTGTCTAGCTAAGCCGGTATGTGTTCACGAACTCTCCTTTCCAAGTATCTTGTTGTGCGGCCAATCTATTGCGTTCCATAGGAGCAAGTGAATGAGCAGATACACTGCGATGTGGCCTGCAACGGCAGTCGGTCTTTACCTCCCAAGCATGGGAGGGAAGAATTTGTAAAACATGCGTGTAAATTCACCGCGAGAAAGTGCTGGCGATCGCTGTCTTTAAACGTCACCTTTCTAGTTCACCTGTTGTGTCCTCTTGAAAAGGCAATCTTATAAACAAGTCTTTCTTTTCTGCAGTTACCATAGTAGTCTTTGCAGTGCGCTCCCCATTTTTTCGCAGGAGAAATCTTTCCAGGTGTCCGTTTTCACGGAGTATGTTTTGCAGCTGCTGCAGTTCTTCTCTAACAGTCTGCTCTGTGAGACAGGCCCCATCCTAGCTGCCAATTCCTGAGCCAAATTGCGTTTGATATCTAGGAGAATAAAACTGTGAAAATCAATGCATTGTCCCATTCCGGTTTCCTTTCAGAACACCCTAAGGTGGATAGGTTCGTCCTCTTGTCTTTACAGAGAGGCATCGAGGAACGCGATTTCCTTGTCTGCCTCGAACTCTATAGAGACCTTTGGTGGGGGTGTACACTGTTAGACTTTTGGAACAGGGTATCGGTGCCTTTTCAAGAGGAGACAACGGGTGAACTAGAAAGTTGACGTTTAAAGACAGCGGTCACTAGCACTTTCTCGCGGTGAATTTACACGCATGTTTTACAAATTCTCCTCTCCCACGCTTGGGAGGTAAAGACCGACTACCGTTGCAGGCCACATCGCAGTGTATCTGCTCATTCACTTGCTCCTATGGAACACAATATATTGGCCGCACAACAAGATGCTTGGAAAGGAGAGTACGTGAACACATACCGGCTTAAATAGACAGAAGT